CCCCGCCCCAGTGCCGCCCGCGGGCAGCCCGAGCCGCGCACTCACCCCGCGGGCGCCGTCCGGGATCCCGGGGCCGCCGCGCCCCGCTCGCCTTCGGCCCGGTCCGGGCTGGCGGAGGCTGGTCCGCGCCCTCCCGCCGCGCGCCGCCTGCTCGGGCCGGGGCCGGGCCGTGGGGCCGTGCCCGCCGCGGAGTTTGCCTGCGAGCGGCTGTGGGGCCGCGCCGGGCGACGGCAGAATAACGATCTGCCCCGCCCCCGCCCGCGCCCTCCGCGTCCCGGGCGCCGCGCCGCCCGTGCCCGTGGTGACAGGCGGCTGGCGGGTGAGAGCCGGGCGCCCCCTCTGCGCGCCGCTCGTTTGCAAGTGCACAGAGCAGGCCCTCGCCGCGCCGGCGCCCCCTCGGCGCGCCCCTCCTCCCGGCTTCGCCTTCACCCTCCTCTCGGCTTCACCGCCGCGCTCCCAACCTCCCAGCCCACCCCGGTCGCCTCCTCCCTGTCTGCATGCCACGCCACCCTCCTCCAGCCCCGCTGCCACGTTAACTCCTGAGTGGCCAGAGGCCCCCTCTCCCTAACGCGCAGGCACATCCCGCAGGGAGGAGTTGGGTGGGGCCAGATGCTGAAGCTTGAGCATCCAGGGCCGGTGGTGCTGGGCCTTTAGAAGCAAGGCTTAGCTGAAAGAAGTGGGCACAAGGTATGGATCTGCGAGGAGAAGGGGATGGTTCTTCTGATATTGTCTCTTTCCCCATTGTAGAGGCCGGGAGGACAGAGGGGAAATTCAGCGGCTTTTAGAGTTCAGCTGCAGCTCACAGGCATAGCACACTCCTAAGCCCACATTTTTGCCTTGCACCGTGCTACCCTCCTGAAGTCAACAGCGGACTAAGAAACATGGTGGATGGCTTAGGATTTGTTATGGGCACACACCCGTCTCATCCGAGGAAAGGAGAGCAAGAGGCGGGTGCTGGGCTGCTGCCTGGTGGCTTAGAAAGCCACTGGTTGGGGCTTAGGAGAGTGGACCTCCTGCTGGAGCCCAGTGCTTAAGGTCCCTGACTTGGTGGAGTCTTCAGCCTGGACCACTCAGAATGGACACAAGTTCAGCTCCATGACAGGCCACACCTGCTGGTAGGTGTTGACCGGCACATGCAGAGCCAACAGCAGGGGAGTGGGTACAGGAAACCCAAAGTACAGGGAGTCCTGCCAGGAGTGGTATCTGGTCTGTCTTCCTCCCGGCCTTGAGCTCAGCACCTCCTGGGAGTTGAATTCTGGACAGAACGTGGACAGAGCTTTTTGTCTCTTTCTGGCTCTCAAAGCCACAGCCTGTGATGACTCCATGCCTGGAGCCTTTTATAAAGTGGCTTGAAGGTCTGTTCTGCATGCACAGAGGGGGCTCTCACCTTCATATAAGCACGTATTAAGCTCCCATTGTACTTCCTAAACCACCTCCATGCCCCCAACCTCCACCCCTGCTGCAGGACATAATGGTCTCAAGGAGCTTAGAGGGACAAGTTGGAACTATGTCAAACAAATTTTAACGTTTCAAGGCAATGGAAGTGCCACAGAAATACAGAAAGAAAAAGCCATTTTGTGTGAGGGTTATTCATGGAAGGTTTTATGGAGGAGTTGTGATTCAAGCTGAGTACAGATGGAGGGAGGGGAGTTGAACTGGCAGAAAAAACAGGGACCAGCAAAGGCAGGAAAGTGGAGCCAAGCAGAGCAGACTGGGTTGTCTGGATGGTAGAAGGCAGGGGAGGGAATTTACAGAGCTAATATTGAATGCCAGGCCGTTCACATCTCATTTTTCCTTTGAGTTGACTCTTACCCCCATTTAACAGAGAGGACAATGGAGGCTCAGGGACTTTGAAGTCTACAGGCTGCATTTGAACCCTCTCCTTGGAACCCACAGTGCCCTCACAGTTACGCAGTATTGGGGATGTGGAATGGAAGCCGCTGAGTCTGAAGTGCCAGGCTGAACACCTCAGCTGTAGCCAGTGCGCAAAGGGTTTGGGATGAAAGAGGCGGGAGGCTGGGAGACTAGCTGATGCAGGAATGGGGGGAAGGTGAGCAGTGAGTACAGAGGGTAAATATAATGGGCCTTTTTAAAAGGAACTTGGCAAAACTTTGACTCTGACTCATTGAGTGAAGGGGTCAAAACTTGACTCCAAGCTTTTGAGTGTGTCTGGGGCCCTTGTCAACACATCCTGAGGGCCAATGGCAACATATTCAGACTGATCATGAAAAGGAGGAAATATTCCCAATCCTTCAGCAGCTCAGTGACCTGAGCATGCCCTCCGGTGCCCCAACACCCGTGCATGCTGCCCAGTGCCAGCTGGGTGATGAGTTGGGGCTGAGACTGTCCCACACTACATGACATCAAGAAGAGCACCTTACTGAATGTAGATAGTCAACTGACAGATTACTAGAGAATAAATGAGGTAAAAGCAAGTAACATTTGCCAAGTGGCAGGTTCCTAAGTGGCAGACCCTGTAATGCTGGATAAGGGGATTGTATTGTCTGTGGGGACTGAGACGGGGGAGTCCTCTTGAGCTGACTCCAAATTTCCTACAACCCAGCAGGACTGAGGAAAGAGCACAGGTTTTACAGCCAGAGATTTGAAACTCTGCTGATTACTTACTCTGTGTTGCTTCAGGAAAAGTGCTTAACTTCTCTGAGCTCCAATTCTTTCTATGTAAACATAGTATTCAAGTAATAGCAGTTAATACCTGCTGAACACCTGTTCCATGTAAGGCATGATGCTAAGGACACTTATGCATCTGTTCTTTGGACATTCCACAAAACCTAGGACTCTGGAGATAGAAGAAAGAAAAGGGTTTAACATTTAGTTACCTAGTACGTAATAGAGCTGAGACCTGAACCCAGGGCTATCTGATGGCAAAGTCTAAGCCCTGAACCACTACCCTGTAGCACTTCTTTTAAGATGAGGGTGGTAATAAGGGTATTAATTCACTCATAGAATTGTTGTGAGCTGGAACAGCAGTCATTTGTGTCCAGTAGTCAGCATGGTGTCTAGCACTCTAGCACATAGCACGTCCCAGTAAGTGGCAGTCTCTCTCTCTCTCTCTCTCAACCTAGCTCCCATGGCTGCCAGTCTGAGCTAGATATTTTCCTGGGAAAAGAAGATAGGGACTTGATCCAGTCCTCTGCATGATCTTAGATAATTGCCCAGAGGATTTAATGGCCCTGTTACTGACCTTTCACCCTCTAGCTTAATCTCTGGGCTCAGGAAGCCTGGGACTCTGTGACATCAGAGTGTCTTGGGAAGAGGCTGGGATTATAGGGCCCTACAAGTGATCCTTGGCTCACCTCCACTTGGCGCTTTAATATTGGGGTCACGCACTGAGCCAGTAGGCAGGCTGTTCGTGTGGTAGGGAGAAGCGAGGACAGGAGGGCTCCTTCTGGAGCCTGGCAGATGAGCCGAATCAGAGAAGGGAGGCTGGCGATGTAGACACTCCACTGCGGGGTGCAGCCTCTGCCTGGGCATGGGCAAAGAATGGGGCCTTTGGAGTCCCTGGGGACTGTTGTCCCACCCGGGACCCAGTTAGGTAGAGAGCGAGGCTGTAGAGCAGTGGACCTCAGGCTTAAGCATCACCTAGAGCTTGTGTACAAAGGTCAACTTACTGCTCCCACCCCGGAGGCAGATTCTGCTGTTGCGATCTGCATTTTGACAAACTCTCCCTATGATGCTGACTCAGGTGACCGGATGAACCCCGCTTTGAGCCACACTGGCCTGGGGGTGCCCACCGCTCCCTGACCTCCCCATGCCTGGGCTCAGTGAAGCAGAGCCCTGTGCTCTGGCTGTTGGGGACAGCAGTGAAAGAGAAACACGGGGTCCTGCCCGAGGCAGGTTCATGGTAAAGCTGAGGAAGCTTGAATTTGGGGTTGCTCACTTGTGGGGATGAAGGGAGAGCTGGCTATCAGAGCTAGGAGCTGGAGAATATTCTAGGAGGGGAGGGGAGGCCAGTTTACAACAGTAAAGCATTTTTATGTAAGCATTTCTAGTAAACTGAGCGGAGAGATATCAGAAGAAAAAGATCTGAATTTCCGAGGCTCACGTAAATTGTGTCTTTCTAGTTCAAAAGAAATGTAACCACTGGGCCTCATTTTGCATTTATTCTTTTTCTTTAGAGGGCCCCACAAAACCTGGATTTTCCCTGGTTTCAGGACCCACCGGACCCACAAACACCCTTGGGGCACAGAGAACAGAAAGGCAGGAGGTAGTCTGCAGGTCGCAGGGCCCCGTGGAGCTGCAGTGAGGCCTCAGGTTCCGGGAAAAGGCCCTGCAGGTGAGACGGTGGAGAGTGAATCTGTTTTTGTCCAGCATCAATGTGATAACGGAAATTACGTTCCCCACCAAGGTCCTGGTGCCCAGCTTTTTATAGGAATAAGTATAAACACCATAAGCACCATATTTAATCAACTGTAAATGATACACCTGTACTCTGTTAAATTGAATTTGAGTATATAAAACAGCCACACTGGGCAATATGGTAACCAAATCCCATTCTGTTTAATTTAATGTATTCAAAAGATTCCCAGGAGAAATGCTATTTGGAGGAGTTGGAGGGAGCTGTGGAGACGTCGAGGGAGATTCTCAGAGGGCTGAAGCTCGGGGATGAGGGTTTTGTGCCTTATGTCACAGCTGAATACAGGCCAACCAGGCAGCGTGGATACGCTCAACTGGCTCCGAATGCATGTCTCTTAAGAGCTGCCTACATGCTCCCCAGGAATGGGGGGCATTTGAGAGGGTTCCGAATGCTTGAAGTTAGACAATACTGATCTGGAAACAGCTTTCTTGGGGAGGAAATTTTTGAGAAGATACTGAAAGGCAAGAGAGAAGAATGGTTAGGCTTCTTGAGAGGTTAGTCCCAGGGGCCCTCAGAACATTTTCATTTGACTTTTGACCCACCTTGCTATCACCCACAGTCTGCCAAGAAGACTTTATCCTTGAGTGCTTATCCCCCACCTTCCCTTTGCTTCAGTGGTTTCAAACTGCAGGGGGAGACCCACTAGTGTGTTAGAATAAGGGCTTTTTTTTAAACAAGTGAAATAGAATAAGATAGAACATGTTTCATGAATACTTTTGTTCCACCTTGATGTAAACATAGATGTGTGCTGAGTCGTGGTGTTCAGTGTATTTCTTACCATGCGTCTCTATCAAATCCTGGCTATTTATTCCCAAAGCCTATTGATAAGATCTACGTGGGGGTATCTCAGATGTTAAGAATAAAGTATTTACCCAAATCCAGCCTTTTTCCTTGGTATTACTTCTGTTGATTGTCTTCTTTTCCAATCAGACTCTATCTTTGAGTATTTTATTTTAGGAATGGTTCACAGGGCACAGAAACAGGGACTCCATGTATCCTAATCCTGTCCTGTTCTCTGCACTGCCTCTGACCTTCAATTTTCCTTCCTATTTTATGGTCTTACTTCCAACATATGAATTAATTCCAGCATAGATCTTAGAGCTCACAGCACTCGCCAAAGATCATTCTTAAGGTCGGTCAGCAGCCACCACCTGAATCTCTCTTTGCTTTCTAAGCTCATGCTTCTGAAACTGTGCAAAGGAACCACCTGAGGAGCGGATTCAAATACAGTTTCCTGGGTCCCACCGAGTAGGTCTCAAGTGGGCTCCTGAACCACATTTCTGACCAGCTCCACCAGTGATTCTGAGGTTCACACTTGGAGCAACACTCTTTATAAACCACAGAGAAAATTCGGCTCCTTCCAAGGAGCTTGGCCCTGTTCTCTCCTGACTCTGATCACTCCACTGTTTCCCTTCTGCACAAATAGTCTTGGTTTATGCCACTTTGTATTTATTTGCAATCATTTTCCCTTTGTCTGAAAAGTTACTTTATCTGGGTATCCTGCCTTCTTACTTGAATTATAAACTCCCTCAAGGAACTGTATTATTCTTTACTATTTGCCCAGGGTGCCCCAGGGACCTTGCTCATGGCAGACTTCCCACAAGCTCCCTGTGCATAAAACAGAATCCTCCCATATATCCCCCTGCCTCTCCCAGCCCCCAGCCGTGGGATAAGTGTCTGAGCTGTACCCTGGATCAAGCAGCATTATTGATTGGGTGATTTCCACTCTGTCTGCCTAGTCCTTCCATCTCATCTTCATTGGTTTAGGGAGAAGTGAATCAGTTAAAAACTAATGAGGCCAGATGACCCCCCCTGGGACTGGAGCTTCATCAAGGACTATTAAATTCTTCTCCTCTGAGAATGGATCAAACAGCAAAGGCAGAGAGCTGAACAGCAAAACTAAAGGAAGCCTGGCTCTCGGGCACCGACCCTGCACACGCAGGACCCTGAGAGTGGGTACCTCCTTCAGCTTCAGCTCTACCCCCTCCCTGCCCCTCCTGGGTTCCAGCCCGGTTGGACAGCCTGAATAAGTATTCTGGTCCCTAAATCTTGCCACTTAGCCCTCTCTTCCTCTGTCCACTTCAAGGCCTAAGGGCAGCATGACCTGGGCATAGGCCTACTCCTAGATAGATTAAGTGCTTCCTCTGCAGAGGTCAGCTTGGTCTGTTCTCCTGTCCAGCATGATAAGTAACTCGGTTAAGATTGGCACTGAACTCCAGTCCTATTTGGGAGCCTTCGGTGTGTTGTCCCACTTAGTCCTTGTGAGGTTCACGGAGGCTGTTCTCTTGGCTGGGAAGAGGCTCAAAGCAGACTCTACCCCATGTCCTCTGGTCAAAATACACTGTTTTTTTTGGTTCCCCCCACTGCCCCTACCCACAATTCCCCTGCCTCTCATGGAAGAGGGACCCCACAACCCCCGAGAGACACTTGTCAAAAGGATTAAAACCTTCGTTGTCAGAAAACTCACCCTCACGTTTTATCCTCATTACACCTCCTGCCACGAATCACATTTCTCCCCGTTAGCCTCTGGGAGCCGACACTGGTCACCACCTCCGTGTGTGGGGACCCCTGGGCCTTTTGGTTCATGAAGAAGTGTTGTTCTCTGTCGTGTTTTCTTCAGGCACTATAAGTGCATCCCCTCTGCCAGACATTTTCTTTTCTTTTCTGGAAGAAGAAAAATTATAGGGAAAAACAGGAAGAAGAGATCCGAGGGAGTAAGTTAATGCTGTCGCACCCTGAGCTGAGGGGAGCTGATCTGGTGGCAGACAGGGCTTAAGGGCGTGAACCCCCAAATACTGGGCTCCTCGCAGGCCAGGACCCCGGGAAGAGGGTCAAGACTGGAGTCACTTCTGTGGACTTCTGCACAAATGGCTAATGGTCCAAATCCCCTCACAGACCCCAAGCCCCTGCCTCTGCTGGGTCCCCCACCTGGAAGGAAAGATGGGTGAAAGGACCTCTTGTAACCTGGCTCACCTGGAGGACTTGGTCACAAAGGAGCAGAATTTTCAGGCTCCAAATGGGAGTATAGAGGGCTGAGGGCTGGGGTCAGACACCCAGTCCTCTCCTCCCCTGCCCCCTGCAGTTTCAGAGATGGTCTCTCCACACACTGAGGGGGATGGTGGGAGTGGATGACTAATGCATGTCCTTTTCAAGATGCTCTCTATGCACAGGAAAGTACATTCACATCCAGGTTTTAATTGTGTGTGATTTTAGCTGAGATGGCGTTAATTTATTTCCTTTGCTACTTCAGCGGTTCTTCCTCTTTTCATCACCGTGAAATTATCTGGAATGTATCTTTTTTTCATAAGGACAAAGAGAAGAAGCTGATCTTGCTCCTTTTCCACTGATTGAGGTTTAGAACATTCTAGTGGCTGCCAGATGCTGCTTAGTGGGTGCTTCAGGATGAAGACCCAGTGGTCTCCCAGGATCTAGCCTCTGGCCCTCCTACCAGCTTTGCCGAAGAGAGTACTTGATGCAACAGGACCCTCACCACCCAGGCACAGACCCTCTGACACATCCACCAGGGAAACTGTCACCCAGGGCTGGCTCTGCCCAGGCGCCCGAAAGAGAGTTGCATTCTTCCTTGTACAACCTGGAAGAAAAGGGCAATGACTTGTCATCTACAAAGGGTGTTTTGGAGGCAGAAGACAGTGTTTATCAAAGCAAGATGGGGCAGGAGGCATGTGAGGCCCCCTTGCTGGTGCTCGGAAGCTTGTGCCTTCTGACTTCGGTCGGCCAAGGGGCTATCATTTAAGGAAGTGGGTAGAGCCGGGATGAATATGATAACCCCCAATACAATGTTTTTATATTTTTCTTCTCACTTGAACTCTCTTTGGGATAAGCATGAAAACGGAGCACCCACCTTCAGAGACTGCTGCAGCTTTCCCCAGAATCATTATAATCTGGTTTGGGAGCTCTACGTATTTCCAGCCTAACCTCCTCTTGGGGTATTGCACGCTAAGTGGATTATCTCCCCTGTGAAGTAGGACTATGAATTTATTTTGTTTATTTGATTATCCTGAGCCTAATCAGCTTCACCTTCAAGTTTAAGGAGTATCCTGATTCAATCACTGCAGGACTTGTGTTCTGCTGTTGCTTTATTTTGGGGGCCAGGTCTGCATACTCTGAACCTGTGGTGGGCTGCTGGGGATCTGAGGCTCCCCGCTACGGTTGTCCTGGGACACACAGTGCTGTCTGCCCTGGGGTTGGGGTAGGGGGTCCCAGTCTGCAGGCCTGAAAGAGCCAATCTAAGGCTTGATTCATTTAGCACCCCACCCCGTCCCCCAACACATACACACCCCCAGGAGCTCTGCTCTCTCTGCTCGCCCTAAATCGCTGGAAGGGGAAGGCACAGGCCTTGTTCCGCTGCAGGGACATGTCACCCCTCTACTGCTGACCCAGGCCTGCCACCCTCTTTTGCATCTGGGTCTTGTGGGGCTCGCAGGAAGGCAGACAATCAGTGAGGATCGTCTCGCTCTTTTTCCTCTTCACAAACAGACTAGACTTGCAGGGCAAAGCCCCTCATTTTGTGGGCGAAGACCGTGCGACCCCGCAGCGGCTAATGGCAGCACTTGTCCACAGACCACTGTGCTGCTTCCCGTGGCCTCTCTTGGACAATGAGTCACGTGCATTAACTTCTGGTTATTTGGGGGTGTGGGGAGTGGTGACAAAAGATATGCAAACCCTCTGAGCTGCCCTAGCAATAAAGTCAGCCCTGTACTCCATGTCCCCCATGGGGCCAGTTCTTCACCCAGGGCTAAAGGGCGGGGAAAGCCCTCGAAGGAAAAGGAGGTGCCTCTGGCTCTTCTGGGGGTTGCTTTTCTTTTTGGTGCTCTGGCTTTTCGCAGTACCAGGCTTACCCTCTGAAGGATCAGCCCCTTCCAGGAGCAGAAAGTCTGAGCCCTGGGGGTGTGGGCAGGGGGACTAATGCTGGGGAGTACTACAGGCAGACCGGACAACACCCGTGGGTTAAACAAACGCCCTCCCCGACAGACACGCACACCCATGGCACTTTAGCAAACTTCTGCCTGACCTCTGTTATGGTGAATGGCTAAGGACACAAAGGTTAGGACCCATCTGGCCCGTTTGAATGTTGACTCTGCCACTTGCTGGCCGTACGACTCTGAGTAAGTCCTGTAAATACTCTTAGCCTCTATTTCTTCATCTCTAAATAGGGGTAATGAATAGTATCTCTACCTCATCTCATAGAATGTCATGAGTATTAGAAGAGAATATATGTAAAGTACCCAATCTAGTCTCTGGTACTCAATGAGGCCTCAATAAATGTAAGTTATTTTGACAATGCTGATCATGGTGATAAAATGAATGCTTTTAAATCATTCCATATTTGTGTCCCTCATGTTTCAGCGAAGACACTGCTTCCTCTAAAAAAAACCCTGCCTGGTCCAAGAATGGCTGCAGGGCCCCTCCACTGGGTCCCCAAGCCCCCAATCCCATCTACCTTAATATTTTTCACACACACTGTACTGTTGGTCTCATTAGCTAAACTGAGTTATTTGAAAGCCGGGTCCACAACTTGCTAGTCTCTCTATCCCCAAGCACAATGCCTGGCAAACGGTAGGGGCTCAAGAAATATTAGTTGAATGAATGGATGAGTAAGGACATGAATGAGTGAATGGAAAGATGAAAAGTAAATGTAGGATTCGGTGTCCCTTCTGTATACTGAGACTAATCCTGCCTCTGGGCCTTCACACATTCCATTTCTACCTTCTGGAATGTCTGTCCCTACTTTCCCATGTTCCTTGAACATTCCCATCTCTCAGGGCCTATCTGGAGTCCCTGCCTCCTCTGTGAAGCCTTCCCTGATTACTCCAACTGCTGTGATCCCTCCTAGGTTGGAACTCAGGCGACAATTATTTGTCATTGACTTGTATGGTCAGTTGTGTTCTTATATTTATGTCCTTTCTCCCCAGACACTCTCTTATATTTATGTCCTTTCTCCCCAGACTCTCTCTTATATTTATGTGCTTTCTCTCTGAGAAGGAAAGGTTTTGCTTTATTCTGCTCTTTTTTCCGAGAGTGTTTTGTAAACCTCAGGGGCTCCATAAATGCTTATGGGCTGAGAGTCAGAAGAACCTCCCCTGAGGCCGAGGGGCTCAGAGAGCCACCAGCAGGCGGCAGGGTGGGAGGCATGGTGGCAGTGCTGGGTCACCTTGGGCAAGTTACTTGCTTTCCCAGAATCTCATTTTCTTCAACTGTACCAAGAAATAGAGTGTTCACTCCAGAAGGCTGATGTGAGAAAGCACACGTGGGGTCCCCAGCACACAGTCACCCCGCTGCCATCACTGTCCCTTCTCCCATTCCCACTTTCCCACCTAAGGAGTTCATTCCATTGCCCTGCACCTTATATCAGCTTTTTCTGACCGTTAAGAGAGCCCTGTAAGCAAGCCGTGGGCCCCCATGTTTTAAACATGAACAAACTCTGATTCAGACAAGGCAGGTAACTCTTCAAGAGCTGCACAGCTAGAAAGCGGCAGAACCAAAGTCAAGCCCAGGTCCACCTGATGCCAAATCCACACATATTATAACCGAATTCTGGAAAGAGCACAAAAGTCTAGCCCTTGCTCTGCTATTGACTTGCTCTGTGTCATTGAGCAGGTCGCCAGACCTTTCCCGGTTTTGTCCCAGTGAGGTGGCCCAGCTAGGTGGCCTCTGACGTCACTCCTGCCTCTCATGCCTTGATGTCCCTCTCAGCTGCCAGCCCCTCCAGGGCAGGGCCTGGCTCCCAGGCCGGCTCTCTTCCCCAGCACGCTTGTCTCCCTTACTAGGGAAGGTCCACACGGACTGTCGAATAGATCTTAGACTATCTGGAGCTGGGATGGGAGGGTGGGGTTTTGGGGTTTGCTGGTTAAGAACGAGGGGCTGGGGATCCAAGTGCAGCTGCCTTTGGCAGGGGGAGGCCTGGGCAGGAGGGAGGAGAGGGGCTCTGCTGCCTGTCTGTCTAGGTTAAAGATCGCAGGCAGGGGAATTGCTTTGGCTGGCGGTTCTAATGGGAGGGGTTTCTGAGCAGTTCCAGTGAGCTTATGGCTTTGGGAGGCTGTGGAGAGAGTGCGGTCTTGACTCAGAGCTGTGGCTGGAGCTGCTTGTCTGCACAGAGCCGTAGCGAACAGGCTTCAGCCACTGAGGAACCGTGACCTATCCAGCTCGCTCTCCATGGCGAGAAATAGCTGCCTCCCCTTCTCTGGCTGGGACACGCCAGCTTCCATATTTTGTGACGCCTTCCTGGATGCCCTGGGAGAAGCCATCCTTCTCTGCGCTCCCCCAGTGTGATTACTGAGAGGCCACACCCTGCCACTGCTCCCTGCAGAGGAGGCCATTGGGTCCTGAACATCTGACCAGGCCCATGGTATGTTCGAGGCCCACCAGACAGGAGTGGCTGTCAGCAAGCAGCAGCCAGCTTTCCTGCCCTCCTCCCCAGGGCCCATGGAGGTGTCCGGGGCTCTCCAGCTCCACCCTGGGGTCCTTCGCACCCTCCGTTCAGCCCCCGCAGGCCCCCTGGCTCCCTCCTTCACCTGCCCCTTGCCCCTGTTCCTCCCAGAGCCAGTTAGTCCCTCACAATCCCACTATGGGCCCAGCCCGGAAGTAACAGGAAAGGGGCTCCAAAGCAGTCTAAGGTGTCATTCTGTAGAAGACACCATCCCCCCATCCCTCCCCAGCAAAGGAAAAGCACCCGACAGTCAGGCACTAACCTAGAGGTGACCAGCTGCAGGCCATGCGGGCTGTGGGTGGGCAGAGTGCTGGTCCGGCTGTCCTGGGGCAGCACGGAGCTGGGTAATGACACTGTCACTGCCTTCCTGCGGCCAGACATCATCCTTGATCCTTCTCCTCTTGGCACCAGGGAGCAGCTGGCAAGGTAGCCACATAAAGGACTGGAGAGCAGTTTCCAGGTGAGCTCGGCCAGGAAGCAGCCAAGCTTCTCTGGAGGGGGCCTGGGAGCTTTCAACTGAGGGGCTCCAACTCCATGAGCCACTCTGGTTTCCCCACCAGCCTCCCCCATCACGGACCCTGAGGGAGCCACTTTGGAAGGTGCAGTCGCAGATGACCTTGGCAACCCAGCCCCTAAGACGAAGGTCCTGACACAGCAGACAGGCCGGGAGGGCCCAGGCGGGGAGGGGACATTGTTCCTCTGGCTACTTTATTTCCTTGGTTTGTGGCTCTTTGACAACAGCAGTAAAAACAGCTTATAAATTAGGTGCCCAGCTGTAAACTGCAGGAACAGCCGTGGTACAGAGAGCTCCTTCCTGTCTCTGCACACCCCCAAGCAGGCCAGGACCCCATCCTGTCCCCAGGCCTGGGAGGGCTGCTGTCTTTCACCCCCACTGCTTACCCTGATCACAGAAGGGCCAGGGAGCCGCTGTCAGCTCCTCCGAGGCTCTTCAAACAGAGAGATGTTTATATCTTTTCAGTGCGGTCCAAATTACAAGCAGGAAACTGGAGCCTGGGGAACATAAACCAAGGGATACAAGGTAGGGATTCTTTTTTTTGAAGCTTGATTTAAATCAGCCTGCAGAGGCTCTCAGATGAGGCCAGTGGGAAGGAAGAGTTTCAGAAGAAGGCAGGGGGGCCTGGCGACCAGGAGCTCAGGGGGCCCTGATGGACGTGTCCTTTGTCACCTCCTTGGTGCAGTGGCCTCACCCCCAGCTTGTGCAGAAGGCCCACTTACTCTAATAGAGAAGGGGCCCAGCAGGACTGAGGATGGGTCTTGGTGCAGCTGTGAGGCACTGCCGGGACAGAGACTTCTAGAGGCCTCTGCAGCTTCTCCGGCCTCAGGAGGTGGCAATCCTGCCTTCAGTGGAAGGGCCTCCTCTCTGCCCCGTGGCAGGGGACAATGTCTGCTCTCCTGCCCCTCCTTCCTGTTCTGGCTCAGTGGGAGCCTCAGGACCTGGGTCAAGGCCCTTGGGGCCTAAGCATCCACCCCAAATGCTCAACACAGACCATATTCAGAGGGGCCCTGGGCCGCCTTTACCCACTGGAGCTTGCCCTTCCCATCAGTTCCTGAACACAAAACACAGCTGTTTGGGCTCAGCAGGCCCAGCTCCGTTTCTGTGCCCATTGCATCCCCCGCTTCCCCTGCGCCCCCCCACACCATGTGGCTGTGTAAAACTCCTACAGCCAAATTTTCCCCTGCATTTGCTTCTGAGTTTCTTTGCCTAGGTCAGGCCCTTGTGTGTGTGTGTGCCCTGTGCACGTGAGGAGCCTGCATGCACAAGTGGGGCTGCTTCCTCTCCTGGTTGGGGAATTCTACACTGGGAGCAGGCCTGGTCACGTGACTGTTGGTAGGTAGGATGAGGACACCCAGGGTACCAGGGAGAGGGTTCCCAAATGAATTGGCACACACAAATGAGTTGACAGAGTGCAGGTCACAAGTTTTGTGGGGGCTGCTTTTTTCCCAGGCATTTGTGGTTTTTTTTAACCATATTTCCTTGTCCTGCAGGGAAGCTAACCACACATCCCACTGTAGCCCAAGCCCAGCAGGTGTTAGAGGGGCAAGTTCCTGGGCTGTATCAGACCAATGTTAGACCTTGATGTATATGAGACCAGTGAGCTACAAAGCAATGTGCCATTCCTTTTAGAAAAAGAAGACATTTCTGACCCACTGGGAACATCTGAGAAACACTGTCAAATCCAATGAGCTGTGTGACCTTAGGCAAGTCACTTAGCCTCTCTGAGTTCAGAGCTTTCATCTTAGGAATCAGGAAAGTGATCCCTGTGAAATTTCTGTGAGGATCAAATGACATCATAGATGAGAAAGAGCTCTGAAAAGTCCATGTGCTCTAGAAAGTCTAGAATTCTTTAACAACTGCAGCAACCATTACGATCAGCAGGTATGGACAGTACTGATACCACATGCAGGCAACAGACTCCACCAAGGCCTTCCTGGAAGAGTCTGTGTGCCCAGCCCCTGCTCTCGCTGGCCCGCTCCTCCCCCTTTTCCCTGCGTGGTATGTGTGGCTCGGTCATTTTACACACACACACACACACACACCGCCCAGGTGCTGTTTGCTGATGGGTTGACATGCCCCATCCCAGGGCTCCCAGGAACCTGCATCTCCCTGTGTGGGGCCCTGGACCCAGGTGTGAAGGCTCTTGGGGTGCCAGCACCACTCAGCCCACACTCTAGGACCCAGGAGACTCCCAGGTGGCTCTGAATATAAATCTGCATCCATTCGGGGCATCTCCTCAGCCAACAGTTGCTCTCGGGGGTGCCAGGCTGACCTTCTGGGACGCCCTTTGGCCCACCTGTGCCTAGGGTAGCTGTGCCCATGGTGCCTCCTCGGTGGGTAGTTGCCCCCCCAAAGCTCCAGGAAACATGTTTATAGGCCGTTAGGAGCTGCTCCCATCTCACTGGGTAGGTTTATAACTTAAGAATTATTTCTATTTTAACAGCATGGGAATCCAAGGACCTTCCTTATTACTGAGCTTTGGTTTCTCACTTCTCGAGGATGCCTTCCCGACCAGCCTGTCCGCAGCAGACACCCAGGCTGACTCATGGCCTCCCTCCCAGCCCAGCTCCGGGCCAACCAGCACGCAGGCCTGGTGCAGGGACCGCGGCAGCTCCGCGAGCAGCCCAGAGCAGGGACCCAGGCCCCCTCCCCGCTCCCCACTTCTGTGAACACAGCTCTACACGGGGCCTTGGCTGGCTTCGGAAAAAGTACAAACGCAGAATGCCTAGGATTTCCGTGGGGCCAGCCCCAAGGTGAGCCATCCTGAGGGTGGTTCCTGTTTCCCCATGGGCCGTAAGATGGGGCTGGGATGTGTCCTGTCTCTCATCCCTGTGTTTCTGTTTCCTGCTGCCCGGGAGAAGCGGTACTGGGTTGGGGTACAGGCTGTGTGTGCCAGGGATGAGTGGGTGACCTGTACCCCTTGCAGTGCCTCTCGGGATCTCTGCTCTGGTTCTACTGTGGCAGGAAGGAAAAGACCTGGTGCTAAAGGCTTCCTCCCAGCTGTCCCCAGCGCGGTATTTTTCCACCTGCTCCTCCGGCTTTGGTATCGATTTAAATAGCAGGTTGGGAGAGAGGAGAGACGACCAAGGGATGAGAGGTGGATCAAAGCAGAGAGGGAACGGGGAAAGGAACAGCAGCCTGGTGGGCAAGGAGGGGCGGCAAGTAGGAAAGAAAGGGAGGCTGGAAGAGACGACAAGCACAGGGCCCAGGAGCAGGAGAATAAGGCAGCGGGCAGATGGGAGCGGAGCGAGAGATTCCCCCGAGGCCATCCCCTCCCAAGAGCTGCCTTCCTGGGATCCAGGTGGGGCCCGGCCCCCAAGCCAGGAAGAATGGGGCAGGGCTACACCTCACCAGGCTCCTGGTCCTTGGGACAGGCTCCTGGGGCTTCATGGGATGTGTGTGGGCAGAATTGTGCCACCCTCTGTACCCACCTGATGGGCGACCCCTCCTCTGCTCCCCCTGGCCCCACCGTTCCTGCTGTACAAACTACATCCATACCTACTAGATCCCTTTCTGTAGGGGCAGGCCCTCTGCCTGTGGGGCTTTCCTCTATCTGTTCCAAGGGCAGCTGTGATATCTGAAAGGAGCCCCCCATTCCCGTCCCTGGCAGGTGGCCCTGGACCACCGGGCACTGCCCGGCCATGATGGGAGCAGGCTCTTCAGGGGTGATCCCCACATGCTGGGCTCGGCCGACCCTGATCCTGTCTGTCTGGGGCTTTAGCTTAGAAAAAGCCTCACACACAGTGGTGTTTACGGCCCAGTTGGGTTGTCTGTGTTGCCATGACAACAGTGAGGGCTGCCCCTCTTCTCTCTCCCACCCCATGCTCTGCTCCTTTCACAGGCTAAAAACCTCTCTCTGTCTCTGTCTCTCAATTTCTCTTTCCCCCACCATTATTCCTGTTTTCCACGGGACTTAAGTCCTCCTCCCCACCATTCCCTCTGGAAGCAGTCAGCTGGGCCTATTTCTCCACGATCCTAAGATTGTAGGTTCCCAAGGGCTGGTCCCAACCACTGAGGGTGGGGGAGTGTACTTGCGGGTCACTCTGCTGGAGGGGCAGAAGGCCAGGGCCTCTGGGCCAGCCTTGGGCGATGGCAGAGCCGCCCTGCCCCGGGGGAGCCGCCGGCTCCTCCCTCAGAGTGCCCGCCAACAACCCCCGCCCCCAGAAATCCAAAAGGACCCCTCGGCCTGCTCCGCCCCAAAGACCCCTCTGGGCCTTTGAGCGCTCTCCGGAGGACCGATCTGCGCTTTCCTCTGGGGGCGAGAATGCCCCGCAGCTGCATTCCCGGCTCCGTCTGCGTGTCCGGCCTCCTCAGCAGTCTGAGGCAGTATTTTTGTCTGTCTGGCACAATTGCCACCCTCCGGAGCAGAATTCCTGCCTGTGGCAAACCCATTCTGTGCTGATCGGTAGGGCCAACCAGCCCACCGCTCCTTCCGCTGCTCCAGCCCTGACATCTGACGCTAGCCTGGGGGAACTCTTTCTCTGACTGTGAACTAGAGGCAATTTAGGGCTGGGCTCCCAGGGACCACCTTTCCCACCACGTGAAAAGGAACCCAAAGGGCAGGAAACGGTGTCATGAAGAAAGTATTATTTCCCCATCATTCTGCAAACTCCCTGAGGGCGAAGGATGTGTCCTCTCCCTAGACTGGAGCTCCCCAGAGGCGGGAGCTAGGTTTCCCCATCAAATTGGGAGGAGTGTTTCTTAAGCAGATTAGGTGCTAATGTCTTGGTAGTTAATTGGTAAAATATCAGGCATTTAAGGTTCATCAGCCAGACTTAAATCCGTATTTGGATAACTTAATAAAAAATTGCACCTGAGTAGAAGCTCCCGGGAGTTTCTGTCTTGTTTACCATGTGAGGTGCCGAGTCTAAAGAGAAAGACAAAGCAATTGCCCTTGGGAATTTATGGTCTGGCAGAAGGAGGTGTGTGTGCTCTGACCCAAGTACATACAGTGTCCAGTGAGGGGCATAGCTCAATGCAACACCGTCTGAGGGCCGATTTGGAAAATCTTCCAAGGAAGGTTCCCAAGCCAAGGTCCGAAAGAAGCACGTGCTTTTGTCACCTGGGTAGGGTGGAAAACTGCGGAGTGCGGAGTGGCCTCCACGGAGGCCCACAGTTGGTGCCAGCCAGTGGCCTTGGGAGTCGTGGGTGGTGCAAGGTGTGGCCTGGGTGATAAAGGCATCATCCTCTTCACCCCTGTCCCAGGCCCTCCCTTGCAGCGGGCCTGCACAGAGTCACCCTCAGCTGCTCAGGACCTCCAATCTTTGAGGACAGGGTGAAGAGGCTGGACTATTCATGGTGCTTAAAGTGACCTCCTTCCTTAGCCTTAACCTCCTGTCCCCATTGGTCAGGATTTTGCAAGTACCAGTAACCAGCCCTCTCTGTTAGATGTATAAGTAAAACATGGCATCTATTGAAAGATAACCAGTGTAATGTGTCATCAGCCTAGGGTACAGGTCAACTCACTGTATTTTTGATACTTGATCCTTCAAGCCCACTTTAGCATGAGTCCAGTATCTCTTCCTTGATGCCTCCCTCTTCCTCCCCAACTCTTACCCCTTGTAACTGTTAGAAAAGTCCCAGGGCTTGTGTAGTGAGAAAGGGGCCAGTGAGTAGATAACTGGAGGGCCTGGCCAGTCCATGCTCCCATCACTGCCTCATGAGACAATGGTTGAGCCCGGTCTCCTGCAGGTCAGGGGGGCTTTTCCGCTGGTGCCTTGCTGATCGGATCCCTGCATAGGGCTGCTCCACTCTTGGCCCCTGACGTGCTGCCAGTGAGTGTACACTCATGGGCTCAGCCACTGTCCCCGAAGACCACCAGCTAAAATAGGTCTGGGAGGGTTTCTAGCCACAGTCACACTCTGCCATCAAGATGATCTAGGTTCCAGCATTACGGCCAGATGGTCAGTCTAGACCTGTGCTTCCCAAAGCTGCTTGTGTATTAAAACCACCTGCAGAGCTTGTTTAAGCACAGATGTGGGGCTGCACCTTCAGGGATTCTGATTGAGCAGGTCTTAGGTGGGGTGCAATCATTTGCATTTCTAACAAGCTCCCACAGATGCTGACCTGCAGGTCCAGGCCCACAGGCAGAGCCCTGTCTATTCTCTCCCCAGGATGAATTCTCCCTTGGGGCCCCTTGGAGTCCATTCTACCCAGTGATGTCTAAGGTGCTCACTGAATCAGAGTAGGAGGTCAGCATCTCCATCCTTTTCCTTTCAGGAAGCTCCTTGAGCCCTATGCACAGTTTTCTATTTCTTCCTGGGCTACTTTTGAGCCCTCTATACCAGTGGTTCTCAAGGTGGGGCTCCGGGATGAGCAGCATCACTGTCACTTAGGAACTTGTTAGAAATTCATATTCCCAGGCCTCGTCCCCAGACCTTCTCTACTGTTCCTTCTGTGCAATGGTCAGTCAGACGGGGTCCCAAGAAGAAACCCAGGAGAGAGGCCCAGGGAAGCAAAGGTTATTATGCTCACAGTTTCTAGAAGCAGGAGGCCGCACAGGGCCCCCAGGGGAGGTGCAGTGTTGCCGAGAGGCAGAGGGTAGGGTCCGGGGAAAGCTGAGGCCACGGCCTTCGCCCACGTTCCCGCGGGAAAGGCAAAGCAGGGTAGGACTGGCGGCCTTGACTGATCCCGGTGGGCTCCAAGCCACAAGGGGGCTCCCAGTTGCCTGGCACCTCTAGCTCTGGGCTGACGCTGCCAGAGAAGTATTGCCTCCTGGGTGTAAGGGACCAGATAGAGGAGGTTTGGCCCTGGCCTGGTTAGTTTGCATGTCAGAGGCTTGCTCCCTGCTGAACCCTTGGCCATCTCTAAGAATTGGTTAGTCCTGGCAGGCTCAGTCTCTCTCCCTCGTCAAAACATCATAACATACAAAATAAGAAATACCAACAGTATTCTTCCGGGTTGAGAAACCCCGGGGGCGGGGCTCAGCACTGTTCTAACGCCCCTCCAGGCGATTCTGCAGCTGAGTAGGCGTGAGAACCACCTCTGTACCAAGAGATATTAGGTATTAAAATCACTACGTTCAGTGTTTCCCCGCAGGAGCCCCTTTGCCTACCTGTACCTGAGCAGGGGCTCCTCCCGTGACTTGCCCAAGTGACTGGCCCTGTCAGCCTGGCAGCTGTTGAGCTCAGACCGCCTGAGGCAAGGAGGGCTGTGTGGGGACAGTGCGGTGGCTGCTGGGGGCTGTCAAGCTGCTTCTAGCCACCCTGCCACTATCTGGCTGTGCGTCTTCGGGCTTGTCACCAACTTCTTTTTGTCTCCTCAGCAGAATGTGGGGACTGAACCTGATGATCTGGAAGTTTCTTCCAGCCCTGGTACTGATCCTTGATTCTCCTTATCACCCCTGGGCCTCCTTATCCTTATCTGCAAAATAGAGATAATGCCCACCCCCAGGGCTACAGAAATGGGAAATGAGGTGGTGTGTGTGGAAGCACCCAACATCCGGTAGAGGCTTGATAAGTGTTATTTGGAATGTACGTTACTCTCTTGTCCCCTTGGCTTTGCCCAAACCTCCCTTTTCCTGACTTTTTCTGCTGCCGCTCTGCTTTCATCAGGCCTCCAGGGCCCTCTCCTCTCCAGGACTATCTTCTCCTTACAGAATTAGGATCCTTACCCCCCACAAATATTGTGGGGAGAAGAGACCCCTGTAAAGTTCCTCAAGAATCAGGTGACGGAGGGAAGAGTCAGGGTCAGGTGCTCAGTGGATGGGGGCTCAGCCCTCTGCCCAGCGGCCTCCTGAGAAACCCAATTCCCTGCCAGTGTTGAGGCCTCACCAGCCCCTCTGGGGAGCAGCTCAGAATATCAGAGCCCAGAGGAGACCCCCTGAGTCTCTTCCCTGCCCATCACCACCCCCACTCCTGCCCCATCCCCCGCCCCTCTCTGCCTGGGTGCCTCTGCCAACGGCTGGTTATTTATATCCTTGAGCAGCTGCTGACAGACAGCTGGGAGCTGGGAGGCGTCTGACGGGATGAGCTTGGCAGAGATGACAGGGTGGTGGGCGGCACTGTCACTCTTAGCAGGACTGCTGGATAGAGCCTCCTCCCCTTCACCCAGGGGGTGAGACTTCGGCAAGGTTGACGGGGCATCTGGAAAGAGGCACCTCAGAGGAAAGAGAGCAAGGGCTCTAACCTGGAGAGGGGAGGCCACTGGGATTGAAGGCAAGAACTTTGCCCCCATGATCTTTTCCAGAAGGGGAGGGAGTAGCTGTGGCTTAATTATCTGGGCTTTGCCAATGGCATCTGCTGCTCACAAACTGTATGACCTTGGGCAAGTCACTTCCTTACTCTGGGTAAAGTGAGGTATCTGGCAAGATGTTCTCTAAGTTCTCTCCCAGCCATGTTAGTGCAGTGGTTATAAACACAAAACCTGGAGTCTGAATCTTGGCTCTGAGGTTTGCTGTGTGACCTTGGACAATTTACTTAACTTCTCTGTGCCTCTGCTTCCCTCTCTGTAAAATGGGGGCTCTCAATAGCACCTACATCAAAGGCTTTTTGAAGGGATGAAATGAGTTAATTGATACATGTGATGGCATCTGAGCAGTGCCTGGACAGGCTTGCTCGTCTAGTCTATATGGAACCTCAAGTCTGTGACTTTGGATATGTCCCCTTGCTCTCACTGAGAAAAGGGTGGGGCCCTTTTTATATGTATTTCAGGGAGAAGGGAGAGGTTTTATGGGTCTGTATGCCTTGTGTCATCAAATGCATAACCTGCAGATTGGGAAGTGTTTGGGCTAAGGTTACATTTGTTCTGAGCCTGAGTCCTTGTTTTCTGGCCATTTCTCACTGTAATCTCTGGGGACTGCGTTTTGCTCAAAATAGCAAAAGGTCACAAGGTTATTGAGCTCTTTCTCCAACTGCATCTGTCTGTCATTCTCCTCTTTGCCTCTCCCCAGCTCCTGCCTTCCTTCCAATCCCTTGGCATCCTTCTATTTTAAAAACTAATACCTGATCTCAGAGAGAACAGAATCCCAAGTGTGTAATTAGTCCCTGGGCACAGCTGTGCCTACAGTACCAGCCTGGCTGTCAGGGTGGGGTAGGGGCTGGGCACGAATCTGGGGGTGGGGTGACCTTGGATCAGGGAGCCCAGCAGTCCACCCACCAGCTCCGAGCCCAGCTGCAGGCAGGCACTCCTCAGCTGCAGGGTCTGGGAGCAGTTAAAGCCCCTCCTCTCTTTTCCTAACTTGGCCCCCCTGTTTAGAAGAATATCCCCTTAACAGGAGGGGGAGAGAGGGAAGCAAAGGAAACTGATGGGTTACCATGGACACCAGCTGAACACAAACTCTGAGCTTCAGCTAATACTTGACTTGCAGAAGTACTTCCATAACCACAACCTAAATGAAAACACACACACATAACCCTGGAAAAGAAGAATAACTGTGGGCTCATTCTTCTCTAATCCTAGCAATTAGCTTCTAATGTCAGAGTCCAAATGAGAGGTGAGGATGAGCTGAATCTGTTCTCTTTTACAGAGGCCGCTTGCCATTCACGGTCTTCCTGGAAACCTGGGACATTGGTTCCAACATCCTAGCATTGCCCAGAAGTCACGTATGGAGGATTACATCCCCCAAGTCCTTAATCCCTTGCTGACTCATGCCAGTTCCAGACCTAAGTTAAGATGTCTGGTTTCAAGGAGCCCCCTGCCTCTGGCCAATGCCGCCGCAGAGAGGAAGAAGGGAGAGTCAAAAATCATTCGCCACTCATTGAACATTTCCTGATTGCCCACTATGTGTCGAATGCCAGGAATTAAAAGCAATAATAAGAATAATAAAACTCTGATCCCCATCATCAAGGAAATCAGAATCCAGGCAGTGGAAGGTATCACACAAAGTTTTTGTTTTCTTATCATAAGGGATCCACGTTTGCAAATGAGTCTTATGAATATTGCTTTGGAGGCCAACCCTATGAGGTCAACGTGGTTCCAGGGGAAAAAGTGAGAATTGGGAATCACAGAGGCGAGCCACGGGGCTGCCAACCTCCTTCCCTCCCCAGGTTAACTGCCTTCTCAACTGGAAAGCCACCTCCTCATGCAGGTATCAATCTTGTGCTCTACTGGAGGCAACACAGACGCTGTGAGGTTTGCACTGGGAAGGTGTCTTTCAAATGAGACTGCATTTAACCTCCAAGTGCCCTTACAGGGCATCTCATTCAATCACCCAGCAGCCCTCCAGATCCCATTGAACAGGTGAGGCTCTGGGCCCTGGTGAGGTCAGTCACGCACAAGGTCTCACAGCTGGTTTGGGGCAGAACCCTGAACTTTCCTCAGACGGGTTTGCAGATCTTCAGTTCTTTCAACCCTGGTTCTGGACAGGCAGGAGAAGGTCTGGGTGGCCAGCAGAGTCACGCCTGGACTCCAGCCTCCCATCTCTGCAGAGCTCTGCTCAGATGTCCCGTATCAGAGTCCTTCCCTGACTGGCTTTTCCACACCGTGCCACGACCATTGCCCTCTTCTCTTCATCCTGGTTGTATTCATTTCTCACTGCCACCATTTCCTTGTGCACTGTCGACCTCCCCCATTAGATTGGAAGCTCATGTCTAGCATATTTACTGCTATATTCCCTGGCATAGAGTAGGTGCTCCATTATTTGTTGCATGAGTGAATAAATGAACAAATGTAACCTCAAACAGAACCTCCCTCTCCTCCTGCTCTGCCCACTTTGGGAAAAACACTAAGGGTCATCAGGCAGCTGGCAGGTCGCATGGCAGCTGAGGAAGTGGCTCAGGGCCGCCCCAGGGACAGCGAGCTGGCCCTCCCTTAGGGATCTTGGAAGCGAATACTCGGAGGCCAAGGGTGCCAGTGGAAGGGACCAGAGTTTCCCAACAGCCTCTGCTCAGAGAGGGCCTGGAAACTTCCAGAAAGGTGACAATAACCGGTGGGGGATTGGTGCTGCTGCCTACTCCCCCACACCACAACCTGCCCTGAATCAGAGGGGCCTGGGTTTCCTGCAGTGTTTGCTCCAGTTCCCAGAGCCAACTTCCGCCAGCCCCACAGGGACACTCAGAGCTCATCTGGAACCTTCTGATTTGCATCTCCAAAGAAATAAAATAAATTCCACTAAACACTGTGTATTTTTCCTTCTGTTTGCCCTGAGGCAGGCCTGTGTGGCTCCTGGGATCTGGAGTGGATAATCAAGGCAATTTCTGTGGTTCCAGGAGCTGGGGATCTCAGGAGCCTCACAATAAAAAGAAAAACGAAAAGGGGACTGCACTCCAGTTTTGGTGGCAGAGATGGGTGCAGGGAAGATAAAACAGCACCAAAACCTGCCTGACACAATGATAGCCACATTTGCCTTACAGAGGCTGAGCGTTCCCTTAGAGGGAGTGGTAATTAGGTTGCGTGGCGATTAGGGGCACTTTCCAAATGTGGAGCGAGGAGGTGGAAATCCAGCCTTGAAATGGAAAAGAATGTACAGAATTGAGGATGGTTAGCAGGCAGCGGAGAGGAGGGACTGCAAACCAGAGAGCGAATCGATCCAGTCCTGACCCTGCTTTGTGCACGTAGGCTTCCAACCCAATCTGCTTGTTGGGTCCCAGGGTGGGGAAGTGGGGAAGATCCGAAAACTGGTCTCTCGGAAATTTCCCTGGGGAAAGGGGCCCATAAGGGCAGAGACAGGGCTGAAGGAGGCCCGTAGCTGGGGCAGGGGGAGGGAGGACAGATAAGGGCTCACTAGGCCTGGGCATCACCCGTGGTTCCTGGATTTGACTCTGAGTGAGAGCGAGGCCATTGGCGCATCTTGAGAAAAGCAGTGACATGACACCCCTTTTCATAAGGACAATTCCAGCTGCTGTTGGGCAGGCTGTAGGGCACAAGGCTATTGTCAGGAAGCCCATTTCAGCAGCCAAATGCCTGTGGTCAGAGGGCCCAGGTGGTAAGGATGAAGGTGGTAGGAAGTGCTCGAAGCCAACAGAATCGGTTGCTGGATTGGATGTAGCAAATGAGGGACAGAAGAGATGGAGGATGATGCTCAAGATTTTAGCCTGAGCAACTGCACCTACCGTTTACTGAGAAGGAAAAGAATGGGGAGGGAATAAAAGTGGTGTTTTTGAGATGTTAGGTTTGAGATGCCTGTTAAATATCCCGGTGGAGTCGGGAACAGCTGGCAATTGGAATCTGGAGTTCAGGGGAAGAGATCTGGGCTGAAGACATGAATTTGCATATAGATGGTACTTAATGAGAATGGATGAGATCACTAGGAGTGGGTGCATGGGAAGGAAAGGAGGTCTCAGACTGAGCCTCGAGGCACTAGCTGTTCAGAGGTGCCCTCTGGCAGATTGGTGGTAGAGAAGAGCAATCATCTGGGTAAACTGAGGCTTGAATTTCAAGCATCCTACCCTCCCTCCCCCAACTCCTATAAAACTCTCAGGCCTCAGATCCTGGAGACGTGAACTGATGCAGCCCAGGGTCATGATGGGACATGAAGACAGGACAGAGCTAATGGTGACCTGGACAAATCCCTTCCCTTCCCCAGAACTCAGTTTTCTCCTTCCAGCTTGAACTGTATGCGTTTAACTCTAGGGAGCCTAAAGCCCTCAGGAAATAGGACTGGCCTCAGGGACACAGCTGGGGGTCAGACTGTGCTGCTCTCATTTGGCTCTCATTTTCCACAGTGTACAGTGGGACCCTGTTATCTGGAGATTCTGTATTTGCAAATTCACCTACCTACTAAAATGTACTTGTAACACAGAAATCAGTACTCTGGGGTCGTCATTCACAGACAGGCACAGAGCAGTGAAACGTTTAAGTTGCCTGAGATACATATTCCCAGCTAAGGGCAGAGGAGGCCACTTCTGCCGTTTGTTTCAGCTCTCATGCTGTAAACAAGTGTCCTTTTCATGGTCTATTTAGTGCCACATCTTCCATAGCTTTGCACTTTCACTGTTTAAGAGGACCCCCAAGTGTGGTGCTGAAGTGCTGTCTGGTATTCCAAGCTCACAAGGGCTGTGATGTGTCTTATGGAGAAAAATGTGTTAGATAAGCCTCACTCAGGTGTGAGAGGGCCATGAGTTCGGTGTTAATGAACCAGCAATATATATGAGGTGTCTTTAAGCAGAAACTCACCTAAAACAAGGTATATATTGATCAGCTGATGAAAACGTGTGACACAGGCTTATAGGAACCTAACCCTGTATTTCTCATAGGAGCAATGTTTCAGTATTTGCTAATTCAGTGTTTGCAGTGATTTATATACAAGAATTACTATAAGGAAAACTGACTGTATTTAGTTGTTTGTTAGACCCTAATGTGCACACACGTGACGTAGTTTCAGAACTGCTAACCCATACCCCTGTGAGAAGCACGTTTGCTGACTAGAGTACAGCTCTTGAATACAGTCCCTTTTGTCTTTAGTCTGACAGTATCTAGTCACAACTCTTTCCCAAAGTCACTCAGGTCAGTTTTCTTTCCCATCCCCTTCAGTGTGGGCATGTGATGCACTTATAATACAGACTGGTTTACTTCTCAGTTTGTATGCCATTGTGGGTACCCCCAACATTCTGGTTATTTTGTTGTTTTTGATTTGCATACGATAAAATTCACGTTTAGGTGTAAACAATGCAATAGGTCTTGACAAAGAAATGGAGTCATGCACCCACCACCACACACATGATACAGACCCATTCTATAGTCAGTCCCTCTCCCCATCACTGACCCCGGCAGCCACTGATCTATCTTTGCCCCTATACCTGGGCCTTTCCCAGGATTCCATATAAATGGAATCAAGCAATAATTAGCCTTTCAGATCTGACTTCTTTCACTTAGTAGAATGAACTTAAGACTCATGCATGTTGTACGTCAATCCTTAGTTTGTTCTTGTCTGTTGCTGAGCAGTATTATCCTCCATGGAGGTACCACAGTGTTTATCCATTTGCTGATAATGAACATTGGGGTTGCTCCAGTTTTTGGTGATTTTGAAGAAATCTTCTATAAACATGAACAGGTTTGTGTGTGAATAGGAGTTTGCATTTCTTTTAAGCAAAAAAAAAAGTAGGATTGTAGGGTCATGTGGCAGATACATGTTTAACTTTATATGAAAACTGCCAAACTGTTTCCAAAGTGGTCGTTCCATTTTGCAGTTCCACCAGGAAGGTTCGAGAGTTTCTGTTGTTCTACAACCTCACCAGCCCTTGGTAATATCAGAATTTAAAAAAATTTTAGCTATTCTAATAGGTTTGCAGTGGTATCTCACTGTGGTTTTGAGATTTCCTTAATGACTAATGACCTTGAATATCTTTCTTTTCATATGCTACTTGCCATCCCTATATATTCTTTGGAGAAGTGCTTCTAATCTTCTGTCCATTTTCTTAGTGGGTATTTGCTTTCTTATTGTTGAATTTTGAGGGCTCTTAATAGAGTCTAGATGCAATTCCTTTGCAAAAACGTGATTTGTAAATGTGTTCTCCCCATCTGTGGCTTGTATTTCTATTCCTTTAATAGTGACATTTGCAGAATAAGTTTTAAATTCTGATAATATCTAATTTATCATTTTTCTTTTATGAATCATGCTTTTGGTATTATATCTAACAACAACGTGCCTAACTAAGATCACAAAGATTTTCTCCTATGCTTTCTTGTAGTTTTATAGTTCTATGTTTTACATATCCATTTTGAGCTAATTTTGAGTTAATTTTTGTATAAGACGTGAAGTATAGGTTAAGATTCTTTCTTTTTGTTTTGCATTTTGCATTTATTTATACAACTGTTCTAGCACCATTGTAGATAACAGTGACCTTGGAGTAGTTTGAGTCAATTGAAGAAAAAGACTGAGTTTCACAATGGGTTGAAATGGTGCTCCAATCCTGACACCAGCTCTGTTGTGTTTTTTCATTACTGCCAAACAATTAACTCAATTTTGACACCCTCTACACACTGTCTATTAGGGAGATAGCATCAGATCTTACAGGTTAAGGGCCCTGTCCCACAAGATTCCCCCTGACTTCAGATGCCAATTGCAAGTCCAAGTTGTCACCTGTGCTTCTGCCCAACTGGCTGTAAATCAGAGGTTCCCACAACCCCCTCCTTGGTTTGATGAACTTGGGGGAGAAACTCACAGAACTGGAAATTATGGAAAGTTACCCAGGAATTTACAGAACTTGGACTTGGACTTTCCACAAGGCATGAAGGTGGGGAAGGGTTGTTGAGCCAGCCTCAGCAGATCTGCTGGAGAAAGATGAGGCTAGCTGATGTCCGAGTGGCGCAGCGGGGAGGTGTGTGTTTCTCCCAGGCTCTGGCTCCGTGGCCCGGCCAGGTGAAGGGGATGCTGCAGCCTGGGCTGGAAGCCAGGTTGACTCATCAGCCTGGCGTGAGCGTCTCGGGAAAGGTTGTTTTGTTTGCTCTCACCATGAGTCCTGTTGCAGTAACAGCACCAAGGTGCCCCAGCGCTTTGACTGCTCTCTCCCCGAGCTCCTAATGGAGATTGACAGAATCTGGCATCCCAGGTAATTCTATTGCCAGTTTTAGCAGCCTCCTGCTCCTCATTAGACAAAAGCAGAGAGAAATGAGCAAAGGAGGACTGTCAGCCCCAGAGCAGAGGGGCCTGTGAGAGCAAGCAGCTTTCAGGAGACGACAAGGCAGTGAGGAAATTATCTGGGCCTCGCAACCAGCCCCTCTCAGGCCCCGGGTGGGAAACGGGGACATTTACACCAATGAGCAGATGGAGCCGGCACAGACTGGTAGGCTTAGGCTGCCCACCCTGCGCCCTGAGGGAGAACGAGGGGAGGTGGAGAAAGACTGTGTTTTGCAGACCAGCCCCCAGGACCAGAGGCTCCCCCTGGTGGCAGGGCCAATCAGGGTGGCGTCTCTGGATGGCTTGGGTGTGGGCAGTGGGTGGATGCAGTGTTGGGCGTCAAAAGCTTATTTGATTTATTTAGACCTTCAAGAGGTCACTCGGGATGGATAAATTGTAACAGACTACAGGAGACAGAATCCTGTGCCTGTAGGGAAATAGGGATTGCATAATGGCCCCAGTTCTGGCCAGTAGCACACACAGACTTCCATAGATACACACATATCAACCACTCACATATAAACCCTCATGTACAAACATGTACAA